GAACCCAAATATAATGTTCTGGGACCCGAATACAAGGAAATCATCTTCTATACAGAATTTCTTCATTTGTGTCAGATGTTGATGGTCTTCAGGATCAAATCGCTGTGTTGATCAAGCTCGTGCAGTTTTGCGACGGACACACGGCGCCGACCGTCTCGGAACCGCGTCGCGACGAGGATCGCCTTGTTGGTCCAATCGGCGCTGGACGGCTATCGCGTGGCCATCCTGGCCTACGGGTGCGCAGAGCGTTTGAATGAGCATGTTTGTTTGTGTTGTGTGGTTTGAAGATCCGATGAGCCGATTGGCAAGTTGTTTGTGTCAACGTTCAATTCAATAGGGCATACAATAATTATGTAGGGTAATGATCCTGGCCCACTAGGCGTCACTGCCAATCTATAGGTTGATGTTGCTTCAGTGTGAATGTTGCTTGCAGCTCGAGCTGCCCTATTGTCCTGCTTTGAATTGCGCGTTCCCCACGCAGTTTTGGGGAACGCCTGTCTCAGAATCAACTGGTATCAACCCTGCGCCTTCAGTTCCCAAGACCTGCTGTTGCGGCCTTTGTTTGGAGCCAAGCGCCGAGTCATCTTTGACTCGATGTCAGGCAGACTGGCAGTGGAAAGACCCACACGATGCTGGGCCCCGAGGAGGCGCGGCACGGCGCGGTCCATGGCGCGGTCCATGGCGCGGTCCATGGCGCGGCATGCCTCCGAAGGAAGGAACCCATCAAGTCTGGAAGTGTTGGCCAATTTTATGTCGAAGAATTTGAAGCAGTTCTTCACTACAGAGTATCTCTCGGCTTGACATCTATGACTTAAAAAGTTGTACCCGTCTCAGCTTGACATGTTTTGACGGTGCTCTTGCAATGATGGCGATTGCAGATCAAAAGCATCCATGCAAATTAAGGGCAATCTTGAGGACAAACCTTGATTTGCGCAGATTGTTTTTGAGCAACCATTTTGCTGAACAGTTTGTTTGTTTTTAAAACTATGCATGGACAACCACTACACCTTGCCCGAAGGAGTAGCGAACAAAAATGTGACCTTGCAACTGTCCGTCGCAGACAGCAGGGCAGTTGAGAGTTGCCATTTGGACTTGTGGCCTTGGTGTTTCAGCTTCAAGATTTGAGTGAGGGCCATTGTGTGAAGCCAAGGGTGTTGAGGTTTCAGAGTTGCAGGGAGGGGACAAATGAGATGAAAGAAGTGTTCTGTATGGTAGGGCATGATCGCCATCGTCAAATTTAGGGGTCGATGATAGGTGGTCCTTCAAGCTGCTAGGGAGTGCATTCAGCACGACATAGGAAATCTTCTTGACATTCTTCGCCGAGGTTTGTGCATAAGAATGTATGCGTGTATGGTAGGGATATGTAGGGATGGTCCGGGCTTGGTAGGGCTACTTCGTCCGACTCCAGGGTGAAGATCCTGGAGTGCTCCCTCGCACGGTCGAGCTGATCTTCAAGGCAGCGGCTGTGCGGCTGTGCCGACGTGCCGACGTGCCCAACACGGTGAAGGGAGGAGAAGTAGGCAAATTGTGGTCAGATACGCAGGTTCATGTGGTGGTGGTGGGGCCAACAAGGCACTTGTTGCGTGGTGGTGTTGGACAAAACGAATCCATGGACTGAATCCAAGCGAATTATGTTTGATCCAGGGTCAAGTTTAGAGCCGAAGACCCAATCAGGAACATGTCATATATGGAGCTGCTTTGCTCTTGTTCACGGAGTTCATCCGAGCAGCTTATGGGTGGGTCGCCCTGGACCAACGCCCAGCCCGCGGCAGCTCGCAGGAAGTGGAGCAGCTGAAGAAGAATGGCTGGGAGTCCGGTAGCTCAGGACGATTGTTCGTGAAAGGATCCGGTGAGAGTACAACGCACCACCGTTGGGTCGCCATGTTTTGTGAACAGGAGCAGGGTGGTGTATGTAATCTATGCTGTTTCCATTCTTTGGATCCTTTCTTTCATGATGTCGGAATCTTCACGCAACCTCAGAGTGAAACAATCAGTGACTGCCACAGGTTTGAAGTCTCTGCCGGCCTAGCGGAGGCATGGCGGGCTCTCAGACTTTGCATCCTCGCAAAGAGCGCAAAACACAGTAGAACCAGTTCAGGTGCTTGTGAGGCCTTACTGGAACAGCCTTAAAACTTATTACTGTATGTCTCAATGCTCAACATATCATTGAGACCCTTCCAGTAATAAGATGTACAGTATATAATGAGGCAGACAACAACTTTTAATAATAGAACATATAACTGGAAAAGTAATTGATTTTCTCACTTCAACCATTCAATCTTTGTTGAGCAGACCAGGTCTACAACGACAGCGTGGTTGAGTTGGGGACAGCGTGGCACCCAGACGGGGGTTCTAATGATCTCGCATGCAGTTCTTGCACAGAAAGCTTTGCGTCAATCAACCAAGTGTTGGTGGAAGGGATGTCTCGGATCATCGGAACGTCTTATTTGACAAGTACAGTGGCTTCAGAGTAGATGGTGCAGACCCCAAGATGTCCTGAACAGATGGGGGTCCATACAAACCACCTCTTGGGGTCTGTGCCATCTACTCTCAATCCACTATACCATTTAAGGGCCACTTTCAACATGGAAGGTTGAACAGATCTTTGGACGAGTTGCAACTTGCAACGCTTCACTGCCCCGAGTCCAAACAGTGAATTATGGGGGCCGTTCCAGCGTTTGGTTTCTTAAAACGCCTGTGTGAAGGTCAAAGGGATATTGCAAAAATAATAGAGAGATGCCCCTACCACTGCAGAGACAAGAATGTTGAACACCCAGGTCACAACCATGTTCACGGCCTTTTGATTTGCACCAGAGTTTGGTGGCAAGCCGGGACAAGCAAGAAGGCCAGCGACTAGAACCACCTGGACTTAAGAAAGCTCGTCATGTTTCAGATCCATTCAGAGTATAATTATATAGTGGATATGAGTGGTATAGTTTCAAGATCCCCAAGAGCTTCCACTTATTATGCTACACCTTGGGGGTCCAAGCATTTTTTGAGCGGAGGGACAGCTCCACCAAGCCCAAGCCGCCCACCCAAGCTAAGGCGAAAGGAAGTGTGGAGCCCGAGATGGGAGATGATTGGACCTCGAGGAGGATGGGGCGGTGACCTCTTGTTGGCCCAAAGGATCAACGAGACATATCTATATCTCAGGAAAGCAACTATAGAATGAACTATATATTGTGTTAAGAGTGTGCCAAAAGCTCCCACTATAGTGATCAGGTGTTGTGGAGTTTTGTTTGTCGATTGAGTCAATTTGACACGTGTCTATTAAATTTTGAGATGTGTTTTGCAGAAATCATCAAAACTTGACAACATCACAAGAAATCCCCCCAACTCCCAACCCAACCAACAACCCAGCAAACAACGCACCAGGCATACCTCCATACCAGGTTCATGACCCGAGATCTACACCTTTTTGCAATCCAGCCTGGAACCTCACAACCGTGCCGATACAATCTATATGTTTTCAGGTTTGGCCGCGAAGTCCATTAAAATGACCTGTTGCGCTTTTGTGGTCTAATCCTGGTGTGCACCTCTTCCCCACCTCCCCATCTCATCACCTCCACCTCTTCCTCCTCCCCAGAGTCACCTCCTCATCCTGGTCTCACCGACAGGCGAAGAGAGCAGGTCCGAGCTGAACCGCCGCCCGGTCCGACGCTCCGGCGGCACGGTCAGACGTGGCGTACGGCGTACGGAGGGGAGGTGGAGGTGAAGGACAAGGAAGGACTGGCGAACGGAGGAAGAAGCGTATGTTTGGTATATTGTTTTTTTTTAATCATATGTTGTCATAACAAGAATATAGCCAGTAGAACATGTAAACCTAAAAAGGCAATGGTTAAAGTTAACAGGCAGCATCAGTCATACATTTGACATCCTGTGTGATTGTCACTAGTATTGTCACATTGTGGGGGGGACTTCAGGAACCGACTGGGTTTGCTGTTTGGGAGTCAATGGTTATGGAGAACAGACATGACAATGTGGCAATATGCAGCAACACTAATATAACCTGCATCTGGTGGGACGACAACATGTTGCATCAGGAAATCACAAGCTGTTTGTCCCTAAGACCTCAATTCTTGCAGCCAAACCACGTCAAATGTGAACATGTTGGTTCACCTCACATCACATGTCAGCCAATGTGAGATGCGGATGATGTGCCATGTGGGATCTCGTGCATCCGGTCCATGGGAACTTTCGATCCGGATCGAGGGTGCTCCATCGTCCAACAGCTGGGCAACTTTCAACTGGAAGCCTACAAGTACTAAGTGCATCTAAGTACTACTGAGAATGAGCCGATTTGACAGGACAACTCAGGTGGTTCAATGCTTGTTGGCGCAACTAGCTGTAGAGAACACCTTGCATACTGCTTTGCTGTTGGTTCCCCATAGCTTTTATATACCTTCCAGGCTTTCGAGTGCATCCCCTGCAAAGAAAGGACCATTCTCAACTTTCAGGCTGCGACTGTCAACCGCTATAAACGGATAAATGATTAGAAACGGAGCGAGCACAGCTCCCAAAATGATATCCGCCTCCAATCTCGAGCCATGCGTTGCCTCCTTTGCTTCCTCCTTGCGCCTGCCGCGCTGGGTGCCACACCGGGCAGCTGTGGTGAGCTCTGCCGACGTGTGCGAGCGTCGGCGGAGCAGCTTCGCCACTGGGGCAGCCAGAGCGTCGGCCGCTTGAGTAGGGAAAGCATCCTAGCGTTCTCTGCTTCGATTCGGGTGGATTCCATGTTTTTGTAAGTGTGCATATACATTCTATTTCAGTGATGTCTTTGGGAGGTCTCCTTTGGGAGGTCTCCCTAATTTTCTTTGTGTCCCTCCTTTCGCTTGAAAAAGACCAGGCTCCGCTTCAGTAAGTTTCACCGAACTACGGCGTCAGGTGCTCGTCAAGGCACCTGCGGCTCATCACGCCCTTTGCAGCTCCAGAGTCCACCGTCTTCGCTGGAAGAGCTCATGGTGGTCTTTCCAGTGGTCCGCCGTGCACGTGGAGCCGAGAGACAGTGACCGTGGCAGCAGAAGAAAGGGGGAGCTGCTCGTGTTCGGATGATTTCTGTTTGTTTCGTGCCCTCCATCTTCCACTCTAACTTACACGGACTCTTTTTGGAGGCTCTTGCATTCTGTGCGGTTAGATACGGTTAAATGGTGTGTAGGTGAGGGTACAGTACCCTGTACAGGTAGCGACGGTAGCGAGGTATGCCGCCAAGGTGACGCTTCTTCATTTCGGTTCGAGTAGCCATCGTCAATCGGAACCACTCAGAACAATCCATTGTTTCACCCCAGATAGTCGTCCAATGATTTGTATAGGTTTGTGACGTAACTTTGCCTCAGAGCTATCTAGACAAATTCATCATCAAGGTGGTTATCCCATCAAAACTTCAACAATAGCTGCTGCTCTTTGATTTGCCCATTGCTTCTGGGCCTTGAGGTATGTGCAGCGCTCAGCTTCGGCACTGAAGAGGGAGCTCAGCTTCGTCACGGAAGTCCTGGTTGTTGGGGATGCAGGCGCCTCAAAGACGAAGTCATCTTTCGATCGTTGCGCGAGCATCGGAGCACCTAGCAAAGCAGAACCTTAGTCAGCTTCGCTTGAAGCGTGTTGTGGCCGATGGATCTCAAGAGGTTGGCTTCGAACTCCGATGGATCTGGGTCCAGGATTTCGGATGAGGTTCACCTGTGGTGGCTGCTTGAGCCCATGAGATACAGCCTTTGTCCAAGTTTGTGAGTTGAGCCTTGTCACATCAAACGACATTCATTATATAACACAATTCAATAGCCCTTACAGTATATACCCTGCAATTATACCCTTATGATCCCTTATGATTCCATATGCCTTTTTTGAGAACTGAGCCATCTACTTTCGTAACCACACTGGGCCGACTTGACGGAGCTGCTTTGAGGAGACGCGACGGCCACCTCCTTGCACACGCTGGGCGCGAGGATCGGCACCCGAGCGCGCTACCAAGAGAGGGCGAAGCACCCGGAGCTGCGAGATCCGTCGGTCTTGAGGCCCCGAGATCCGTCGGTTTGGAGGATGGTGCAGGGAGGCAAGCGGTCAAATAAGGACAAAGACAAAAGCACCTTCATGTTTGGACATTGCGACAGACAGCTATCCATTGGTAGTCAAATTGTATCAAATGCTAGTGACAACATCTCACAAAGCATGTCACTTCATATCATGCAGTGAACAAATTACAAGAAGTTGGTGGCCCTTTGGGGTCCCCGCCAGGCAAGACTTTGGAGATCCGCTGGAGCAGCTTGGAAGCAAGTCGTCGAGGTGCCGAGGCAATGTATCGCATGTGTCGGTCGGCGAGCGTGGTTGGTAAGCAGTGATTCCAGGACACCTTTTGAGTTGTGAATTATTTTTTTTGTTTCTCCTTTGCCAGTTGAGGAAAGTCCTTTGGCGCTCCCGACTGGTCTTGGATTTTCACAGCGCGATCCAGACGGCCATTTGTCAAAGTTGTTGTTCTTGTGGAGCTGTTAATTGGCTTTGCTTAATGCAGAAACATCGCGTTTTGTGAAGTCAATCAGGCCGCGACAATAAAGGTTGGTTGCTGTAAGGCGGCTTGACTGTCTTTGTTTTCATCGGTACTTACGGTACTTAACTTGGTTTCACGTCCCTTTTGCATCGTAAAGTTCTCCGAGCCTGGTGTCATGCATTTTTAATCATGCATTTGGCAAATCATTGGCAAATAGTGGCTGTACAATCGATGTTGGCCCCTGCATCCTCAGAGAGATCGCTCAAGGCCATTTGGTTGGAAATTGGAAGTCTGAGTAAACAGGCAAGGCAGGAGAGGACAGGTTTGAATGAAGACATTGTCCTTCAACGTCTCGGTCTTGCAGAGTCTTGTACTAAGGCCCTTTTGGACGACAAAGCCTTGGTACTCACGCGACATGCGCTTTGGCTGGAGGATGATGTGGAACTACTGCCAGGCCCAGAGGGTTGGTTTGTTGGTGAGTCCATTGGAGTTTGCTTCGTGTACTACGGCGCTTCTTGGTTGGACTCCTTGCTAGTGCACTTACAAATCGCATGTGCTCCAAAGTGCCTGGTGTGCCCCAGCCAAGTTGGGTGTCGAGAAAGTGCAGCTTTCAGGTAGTCTTTCAGGTTGCCCCATGCCCATCAGCAACAAAGCACAGAGTTGCACCTCTCCTGTTAGAATCACTTGAAGCTTTGGCTTGCCGCACGTCCAGATCTACTGGGGTCGCCGGCGCCCGCCCTGCGCAAGGCTTTGGCCAGCTTTTGAGGAGTTGGCTCGAGCAGCATGGGCAGCGGAAGGAACTCCAGCGTGGAGCATGAAGACATGTGAAAACGATGGGTGCAGGAAGTCGAGGTGTTGACTTGGAAGAACCAAACAGGTTTCAATCTGCTTAAACTTGCCTGGCAATGTGGCTCACAAGTGAACCAACACTCCAAACAATGCTAAACTGCTCAACGTCAGTGGTGAATTCTGGAATCCCTCAGTAGTGGTGGATGAAATAGTTCCTCCTCCACCACCACCACTTTGCCACATTTCTGTCCAGGACTGGCTGGTGCTACAGCTGTTGGGCTTCGAGCGCGACGCGGATCAACGGACCTGGACTTGGGGAACCCAAGGCCAGTGGACTTGCTGGGAAAAGCACCAAGGTGGCATGGATCTACTGGGCTTTGGTTATATACTTATATACATATATATATATATATAACTATTTATATATACTTGAATAGGTGGACATGGGCCAGCATCCAAGTCCTGGCAGAAGCTTTTGAGTGGAAGTACGCATCCAGCCGTCCAAATGGAACTTTGTGGGAACATGTTTTCCTTGTTTGTGTCTTGTTTGTTTGCCAGGGAGTAACCGCAGACTGCATCAGACTGTGCCATGCCATGCGGGTTGCATGAATATTCATGAAGCTAGTTGGATCCAGGAGATGTCGGGACTCCCATGAGGCTGCTGCGTGTTTCCTACACCCACCAGCCATGATGTTCTTATAAGGTGAGGTGTTCCCTGTGGGAATCATGATCGGTTGGGGCAACACATGGCAACATCTATTGAATTGGGATGTTCTTATATCTTTCCTTGCGGGAATCATGGAATGGGGCAAGACATCATCGAACCCATAGCCGTAGCCATTCAGAGATGAACATGCATGCTTTTAGCTGCGAACCCCACACATCATTTGGCGATAACGGATACGGATACGTAACCAAAAGGAGTGCTATCCATGACCCATGCCATGATTCTACCAGATTCTACCACCATCCCACGCTGGAACTTGAAGGCTGGGGCGGTGGTGGCACCCTGCTCTACAATGGTGCTTGGCTTTCAAGCACCTCGACCGGACCTGGTGGTAGTGCTACCTTATTGGCAGACGTCATGGGGGCACCACCATTCAGTGTGGAATCAACCCCTATAAGTGACTTAACGATTATAAATGGCACACGCCGGCACACGCCCCAAAAAAGGAAGCTCACCAGGTCTCCATGCTGCCTCATTCCAGTCAGGCCAGCAGTTGCCCGATGCTATGGGGGAAGGAGAAACCACATCCGCCTGAGACCTCCAAGGCTACGCCTCCTTCGTCAAGCAGAACTTCGACCGCGCGCCCTTGGATTGGCTGCCCAAGCTTATGGCACCGCCTGAAGGCCTCCAGGCGCGAGCGTTTGACCGGAATGCATTGTGAGTGCTACAGGCTGTGGATGATGCGAAATGTTCACAATATGGCCCCATGATGAAGAAAACGACGAAGAAGAAGAAGAACAAGGAGTGGAATATGGATTTGATTATACTTCAGTATCTTCAGTTCTTTTGCCTTCGCGTGCTAGAGTCCCTTAGCACCAGATGACCAAACTACGGAAATAAGAGATTGACCGATTGACCTTATCCTTCACCATGTTGTTGGGCCTGGCGTTTACTTGGTGACTCAGTGATGGCTGATAAGACCTGACCAGTGACATCTCTTGGACCACGAAGTGTCATAGGCAATCTTTGCATGACATGATGGCGAAAAGGCTTTGGGCAAATTTTGTCGATGTGAAGCCGTGTGAGGCAACCATGCTCAAACGGTCGCAAACTCAACGCACAAGATCCCGAGTGAAACCAGCAGGGCAGTCATGGGCGAACATGGCTGAAGTATGCTGACGCGTGGACTTATTTTCAAAAGTACTACTGTACCTTCCTTCCCTCTTGTTGCAGTTGCCTCACCACGGGGCATGTAAGTGGAGTCTCGCTCTTTGGAAGCCAACTTAGAGGTGCATGGGCTGGAGGGTGCGTGAGAAGTGAATGAGCTGAGTGTGGCGCAAAAAGACCCAATGCCAACTCATCCAGGCCTGGTGGCAACCCCAGCTGCGGCCGGTGCTTTTGCGGCACTTTGGCCAACACTCCACGCACCGGGACTTCTGGTGACGCAGCAGAAGCGCCAGTGCAGCGCTTGGAAGGCCCCTCCGGTGGATCCGGATGGATGGATCCGGAGGTCGGACGAGCAACAAGCGATGAGGTGCGTTTCAAGATGGAGGACCTCTATACCGATAGATCACGTGCAGATAAACATATTTAAACACATCGAGAAACCTAGTGCCCACCTTCGCAGATACTCGTACAAACGCAGACCGCACAACCGCATAGGGGTTTGTTTATGTTGTTTATTTCAATTGGGCAAGGTCTTCACCTCATGAACGAGGCCTCACTGCCATTCCACACGGTTCAAGGAAAACCCTGTCACTATCTCGTTTTTATTTGCACTTTTACGATCAATTTCAATTTCATTGCAGGTCATGATTGACGCTAGACTCGACGCCATTCTTTCATTAATTCGGCAGTGCTTCGGGATGGTGGGCTCTCCTGCCACTTGGAAGATTCCATCATATTCCCCACGCCCTGTAGGCTCTCCAAGACATGCAGTGTTTTAGCTGCAGAGGTGGCCCACCCAGCCCATGTCTTGCTACTTGGTGTTAACTTTCATCAGACCAATGGCCTGTGTCACCCAGGAGTCCATGCCTGTGGACTGAAGGAGCTCCGGAAGAAGGAATCAGGGCGCTGAAGAGCATCTTGCAGAAGAGGTGCGCACCACTAGGGGCAATTCAAGGAGAAGGAACTTCAGGAAGAGGATGTGGGGGTCGGAGGTTGGTAGAGGAGGTTGCTCGTTTACTCTTACTGTCAGGATGGTTTAGATGTCCAGTCCATCGTGGCCTAACCATCAAGTCAGAGACACAGAATTTACATTTTGCCCAAAGTTGGCCTCGGTCGTGATCAGAGTGGTTCCATGTCATTCTATTCAATTTGCTGACGCATGTCCTCACAGCTGTTTGAAGCGTGTGCATTTGCGTGATCGCTGACTCGACTACACAGGTCTTCATCAACGACGCGATCAAAACGAGGTTGGGAGGCTGGACTTCATGTGAGCCATGTGAGCAAGCTAAAACGCGGTATATGTTGAGCAGAAGGTGTGTCGCTGCCCGCAGAAGCTTGGGGAAGCGATGGGTCCCCCCAAAAAGCGACGTCCTACAGACATGCACTTGTTTGGTTGAAAGCTACCGGGCAGTGACGCTTCCCTTCCAAGCTGAAGTCGAAAGTTGTCCAAAACCATGGGAAGCATGTGATGGCATGAGATTGAACAAGGAGTTTTTATAGTAGCACGTGTGTGTGAGAGAGGGTGGAGGGGGATTCCAAGGTTTGTATTGCACGGATGAGGACAATTTCTAGGCCTAGGCAAATCAGTTGGATTTGTTTCCTGTAGACTTGCCGTTGCTTCCGCTTCTGCCGTCCATATTTTTGAGAGCTCGGATAGCTCGGGCCTAGTGGACCTAGCAACCCATGGGACAAAGCTTTGTGACCGCCATTGACCTCCCATCAGGAATCAGTCGGCCGCAAGGTCTGAAGTTTGCGTCCATTTGTGGAGTGAATGGCAAGGCAGTGGCGGCACCTCGCAATGCTGAGAAGATTTTGGTGGTGGACCCTGCTACTGGGCAGGCTTCCTCAATCGACCTCCCATCAGGAATCAATCCGGAGCAAGGTTGGAAATTTGAGTCCATTTGTGCAGTGAATGGCAGAGCAGTGGCGGCACCTCGCAATGCTGAGAAGGTTTTGGTGGTGGACCCTGCTACCGGGCAGGCTTCCTCAATCGACCTCCCATCAGGAATCCATCCGCGGCAAGGTTGGTCCATTTGTGCAGTGAATGGCAAGGCAGTGGCGGCACCATGGCGTG